CCAGCCAGGGGGTGTTTCCTGTAGCCCCTCCCAGGACTCTGACTATGCAGTTACAGCCTGGGGGCTTCTGAGTGTCCTTTACAGCCTGGGGGCTTCTGAGTGTCCTGTGCTGCTATAGGCTTTTACACAAAGTGGGGAGTGCTTTCCTCTGATTACTGTTGCTGATTCAGTTTCCTGAGGTTGGAAAATAAAATCAGACCCACTCTGATCAGCAGGATGTGGAACAGGTTCTGCCAAAGCCACTTTCCCACACAAGGGCTGTGCCATGAGCGGGCCACGCCACGAAAGGCTGCTTATGCTGGTGTCTGTCCCCTTATGGTTCCTTCCAGCAGGACGTGCATCATGTGGGGCTGGACTTGGTGTTGTGGCAGGCCTGTGCTGTCCGCTCTTACTTCTATCTCACAGAGCATGTTGGTGAGTGTTGGAGACTTTGTTTCTGCATCTGCAGTCTGGTGGAGGTCACATCTCCCACCTCAGCTGCCATGAGACGTTCAGGAGGCAGCACTTTTCCCCAGAGTCACTGTGGAGGCTTCATCAGAGGATGCACTCAGATCACATGCTGGCTCCTGGGCCAGCAGGGGTCTGAGGCCAGGCACCTTGCTGGGCTGGGCCCCAGTGGGCAGAGCAGTCCCTGCGTGCTGAGGGGAGAGCCTGCAGCCCCACAGGGCCCATGGGCAGCCAGAGCTGCTGGGAGAATGCCCATGTCCTAGGTGGGCTCAGCCTGAGAGGAGGGTCAGGGGAAGGAGCCACGGTCAGCCGGGTGTCTGAGGTCAGGGGCTGGGGGCATGTGACCATGTGTATCTGCCAGTGCTTGGGTTGGTGAACACACTGGGCCAAGGGAGTGAGGGTACAGTTTGTGTCCAGTTTGCTGCAGGAGACAGCGTCTTTCCCATGCTTGGGTCCTTGGAGTAACCGACTTGCTTTCTCCATGCCTCTCCCACCGCATGCCACCTGGGCAATTCTCTGACACCTACACATTTATGTTTTCAATTTTAAAGTCTTTGGTTTTCCTTTCTAATGCGTGAGCTTCTCGAGGGCATTGACTCTTACTTGTCTCTGTGCCTCAGGTATAGGGATAGCGTTCCCACACAGGGCACCTGGTACCTGCTGTTCACATCACCCCACAGTGGAGACAGCCCACGGCCCCCAACCGAGGAATGCACAAATGTGGTGTAGCTCACCTATGTAGCAGAATGTTATTCGTCCGCAGACAGGAATGAAGCATTGATACGTGCTGCATTGCGGATGGACCTTGGAAACGTGCTCAGTGAAAGGAGGCCATCACAAAAGGCCACCCAGTGTGTGGTTCCACCTATAGGAAATGTCCAGATTAGGCAAACCCATAGAGACAGGAAGTGGGTTAGCAGTTGCCAGGGGTGTCGGGGAATGGGGAGTTATGGCTAAGGGGTCTGGGGTTTCTTTTTGAGGTGATGAAAATGCTCAGGAATTAGCAGTGATGGTTGTACAGCTATGTGAATATGCTAAAGAGCACTGAACTGTACACTTCCAAAGGGTGAAGTTCAGTGGAATATGAATTATTTCTCAATTAGAAAAGCCTCCAAACCCAAACCAAACCCAAAGATTGAACGGGGAGCGCTGGAGTCCTGGGGGAGCGAGAGTGCTGTTTTGTGTACAGCCATTCCAGGTCCGTGTTCCAGCCCAGGAGATGAGAGATGAGTGGACGGTGCAGTCTGTGGTCCCTGACCTCCACGGCCACGAGGCCATTTCGCATTGGATGCTTGTCCAGGGCTGTCACCTTTCCACCCTCAAATGGCCACTGCTTAAGGACCAGCCAGTAGGCTCCCGCCTGCGGGATCCTGACGTGGAAATGCTCTGCTTCTTTTGCCTTTGTGATTTCTGTTGTGCACAGGAGCCGTGGAGGCAGTGTGCGCACCTCCTGTCACATGCCTTGAGTGTGCGTTACGGGTCATGCAGGCGGCCAGCAAGGAAACAACTGTGGTGGGGATGTCACAAAATGTGGGTGTGAGTGATGCGTGCCTCCAAGTCCTTTGTGGGGAGCAGTTGCAGACGTGGGCTCTGGGGATGTCACAAAACACGGGTGTGAGTGCGGCGTGCCTCTGAGTCCTTCGTGGGGAGCAGTTGCAGATGGGGGCTCTGGGGCCCAGATGTGGGTTGTTTCCTGACCCCACTGACCAAACTCTGGGCAAATCCATGGCCATTGTTTCTCTGCACACCACTGTCCCTAAGGTACGATGGTGATAATGACAGAGTTGTGACAGAGACAAAGTGAGTGGGCACATTTAAACTACGCAGAAGAGTGCCTGGCACGTAATAGCATGCAGCAAATGTTCGCAGTCATTACTGTGGTTGCAATTGTGACTTCTACCTGTTGAAAACCTTCTAAATATGTCCTGGGCTGAAATGTTTCTTTTCTTAAAGAACATTTTCCTTACAAAGATGCTATGAACCTTTGCAGATATAACGAAAGTAAAAAACTGAAAAATAGGGTACATAATCTTTTAAACATTTATGAGTGTTATGCTAGATGATAGCAATTTTTAAAAGGATCTAAAATTAGTTTGTTCAAATATCTGATAAGCCATTTCAATTAGGCATCTGTTTTGCATTTTAAAAACTTTTAAGTTATGTTTCTCATTAGGTTTTTTATACTTTCAGAAGGAAAGTGTATTATTTATTATTCCTTTGTAGCACATCTGTGTTACTGCTTTCTGGGCTATTTGATCCTAGCATAGATGTATTTACCGAGTGTAGTTTTGGAAACTCCAGCCTTGGAAGCAGGGTGTTACAGGAATTATTGCCAAATAAGTATATAGATACATTAGAAGCAGAGTTTGTAAAATCTTGTGAAAAACTTCTGGATCTGTTAGGAGTAAGTAATATATCCTAGGGTCTCTCTTATTAGGATGTGAAATGCCTGAGAAGCAATAATTTACAATATATTAATTATGTTAATTAATTGGAGAGGATTCAGAATACTAATGCTCTGCAGCTAATTAGGTGTTGATGTTGAGAGCCGTTAAGTGGTGAGGAGGAGAGCACGCGGGTCACCTGCTCAGAGCCAAGAAAACAGCGTGGGGGGGCTCACCAGCCATGGGGCACGTCTCCTCAGCAGGGCTTCTTGCCAGCTCACTTTGTTTTGCGCAGCTAACTGCTCCTCATCTTTTCTATGCTCGGTGCCACACAGAGGAGGAGGACGTGGACGCCGTGGATATCTCCCGCGTGCCTGCAGAGGTGCTGCGTGACATTGAGGCTGACACCTACTGGTGCATGAGCAAGCTGCTGGACGGCATCCAGGTGAGCGCCGCAGCTCCCCAGTGGACCCCCTTTTGTGACCACACCACCGGCCTTGGTGCCAAGGCATGTGCTTGACCCTCAGCACAGCGTTTACTAACGTCTGAATCCTCAGTTTCTATACCTGGAATAATACGTCCTCCTCAGGGTCAACGGGGTGTGAGAGATGCTGTGTGCATCTCTTGATGTGGGGACAGTTGTGACGTCCTGCTGTGGGTTCCAGCGGGAAGGCCAGATGCAGGGTCTGATCCCCATGTGTTCGATCACCCTGACCCTGCTGGTGCAGACTCCAGCCACAGGCATCAAATGTGGGCAGTGGTCTTGTGCGAGGCAGACTGTGTTCCGAGGAATCCTCCCTTACAGGGCATCAGATTTGGGCCTGGGAGCAGCCCGTAGCCCTGTAACATGGTGGCCAGGGCTCCATGTGTTTGGGGAGCTGTAGCTGTGCCTAGTCCCAGAAGGGACCACGAGCGAGTGGGAATTCTGTGCACCATGGTAGGGTGCCATTGGTCTCCCTGTCAGCTGGGGTCCCTGGCTGAGATTTTCACAGAAAAGCCACAGGTTGCCCAGTGATGGGGCTGCTTATGTGGAAACATTGTGGGGAAGAATCCTGCATAGTGCCTGGAAAAAGGGCCTTGTTGGCAGGTGAATTAGGAGTGAGACTGGAGTCAGCTAGTGTTGCAGAGAAGTGGTTGAGCCCTCGAGTGGGTGTGTCACATTTTAGGTCACTTTAGGCTTACACACCTTTCCTAGGCACCTGCTTTATGCACCTGAGAAATAGCAGTAAGTGAGGTGTGAGGCCTGCCAGAGGAGCTCACCATGGGGTGGAGAGGGGACATTGAGTGCAGCAGCAGGAGACAGAAAGTGCGTGGCCCTGAAGTAGACTAAAGAGGAGAACCCTCAGAGAAGGGGAAAAACACAGGGCAGGGTTTTGGTGGATTGAAGTTATCCAAGAGACCATACTTCCAAGCTTCGTCCTGGGTCCCCTCACGCATACTGCCCACACGGAGATGGCCGCCATGAGCTGGCTGCACTGGAGGGTCAGCGTCGTCCACCAGCATCCCTTTCATCCCAGCTGAAGGAGGGGCCCTGTCATCTGGGAGGACATTTCCTATCAGGGCCTGGCTTCCTGAGCCTTTGTCACAGCGGCTGTTCCTGGTACTTCTGCCTGAAGAGGTCGCAGCTCAGCAGCTCCATTTGAAATGGTCAGAATAAGGCTCTTATAAAATGTGGTCTAAGATTTAGACCCTGAGATTTAATTAGAGTAAATTAGCCAAAATGATTCTGTTGAGGAAAACTGTGTGGGTTCATGTTACACTTTTGACAACTTGGGAATTGACGAAGAGAATGTAGAAGCCTTCGTGTAATTGAACATGGAAGCCTCATGTCTGTCAGCTGATCCAGGCTTCCTTGTGACTTATTTTTTTCTTGTAAAGAAAAGTGTGCCCTCCAGAGACATATGTTGGCCCTAGCATCAATTCATCATTTCTCCTACTTTGTTAATGTTTTTGTATTTTTTACAATTCTATTTCCCAGAACTTAAGGCTTTTTCCCTTCTTAGGAAAGAGATTAAATCGTAATGTAAAACTTTATAAATCTCAAATGTCGCTTCTCTGATTGTGAGTGATGGAACTTGTGCCGTTTAAATACAAGACTATCTGGCTTCTGTTTGTAAATAAAATCAGCTGTACAATGAAATCGATACTGGCTTTTCATTTTTCACCTGAGATCTCTTGTCTGATGAAATGGTTTATTGACAGGGCTAACAAGCGTAAGGTAAAATGCCTTTCTGGTGTATGTGTTTACAACAAGGCCCAGTCCAGGAGGAACCATCTGTCTTTCTCTCACATGGTTATGATTGATTCCACGTGATCCTCATGTGACCAAGCGCTGAGGGATATCAGTTCCCACCATCAGGGGATTTGGGAGCTTGGCTATAATTCCCGTAGATAAGGTCATCTCAGGCAACCCCAGCAGAGCTCCTCCTGGGGACTGTTTTAGTGTCTGGGCCCTGCTGCCATTGTAGGTTCAGATGAGCATGAGGATATGAACTAATCTAAAATCAGAGCAGCAAACGGACCCGAGTGACAGCCCTCTAAGGACCCGGATGCTTCTGCACGTGGTTATTGGCTGCTTCTGCCTCTTAGCTCATTTCCCTTCTCCTGCTGTCACCTACCTCTACTTTGTTCTTAGAACCACTAGAACCATCCTCCTTAACCACCATTATCAACACCATTGTCTTGGAAAAACTCTTTTTTGGCTTTAAGTGCTAACAGTTCATAGCATTGCCAAAGAGACTTCAGTGAGGTCGGAGTCACAAACATGACTGTATTGTTAGGGCTAGGGCCCACAGAGGCCCTTCAGAGCTGTTGTACAGACTGGGTCACAGATCCCTCACATGCCAGTCTGGATCACCAGACCCCTCATACGTCAGGCTGGGTCACCAGACCCCCATGGACACAGGTCCATGAGCTAGGTAGTTGGGAAAGATCCCAAGAGCCATTGGCAGATGATACGAGCTTAGTCCTCAGCAGCAGCAGCAGTGGCAGTGGTGAAAGGTGGCCTCCTGGAGGGTCCCATGGGCAGTGGCAGCAACAGCTTGCAGCAAGAGCCTCCAGCAGCAGTAGTGGCCTCCCTGTGGCCCCCCTGGAGGTGTCCTGGGGTGGGGGGACCCTGTGAATCAGAGCCACTTCTCCTTTATACTTATGTCCGTCAACCCAGGACACCTGGGTGCGAGTCAGACAACCCAGGAACACCTGGGTGCACGTGCACAATTACCTTAGACAATAACCAAGGAACACCTGGGCACACATGCATATTTACATCAAATGCTTGACAAGACTCCAAACCCCTGAGGGACCCTGACCATTTAACTTCACTTTCCCTACAATGACACATTGGGCATTTGGAAAATATTGGATGACTGAGGTATGCAGAACTTCTAAATGTTGACGTGTTTCATTATGCAGTGTTAAAAAGTCACATCTCATATGGAGAAGCTGTCCAGCCAGGCCAGGGTGGCAGATGAGTCTTCCAAAATTCAGATTTTGGCTTAAAAGCTCAAGTAGCATCATTAGCAACAAATACTGTTCATTGTTTTTCTTGAATTCACAGACTGATGTTCACTTTTGAGAAAATGTCCTCTGAGCCCCAAGTTTGAGTAATCAGTTTGTCTGTTAGTCATCTTTCAAGTAGAAATGACGTGTCTTGAGGAAAGCATTCAGTTTTGCTCCCAGCTGCGGCAGCACCATGCTCTCCTCCCATGCGCGACACGGGCTTTATGTCTCCCCCACGTCTCCCACTCAGAACATTGGAAAGTGTTTACTCAGGTTGAGATGGAACACTGTAATAAAATTATCTTTTCCTACTTCATCAAGGAATCCTTAAGTGAAACTGCCTTTCCTATTTTAAACCGTGAGCGTGTGGCCTTAGAATGCAGTTGTGACTAGTACAGTTTGGTGGCACTGCCTTGATTCCACCCCTGAGAACTCCTGCCCTGGAGGGATACCCTCACTACACAGGCCTGTGGTGTCCTCAGGAAAAGCCCCTGAAGGTGAGCTCACGACAGAAAAAGTATGAAACAGGCAGAGAAAGAGTGTGGCTAGAACAAATGTTAACTGCTGCCGTAGTTAGGAGGGTTTGTGCCTGGAGACCTGAGATACAAGAACAGTAATTTGAAAGGAACCATAAAATATGGAGGCCTCTGGGCCGGCCCGGTGGCGCACTCGGTAGAGTGTGGCGCTTGGGAGCGCGGTGGCGCTCCCNGAGACCGGTCCGCTCACTGGTTGAGTGCGGTGCGGGCGCGACACCGAGGGTTGCGATCCCGTTGCCGGTCGCGGTATGGGCACACCGAGGGTTGTGATCCCGTTACTGGTCACAAAAAAAGACAAAAAGGAAAAAACAATATGGAGGCCTCAATGAAGGATAAAGGAACAGTTTAAGATCAAGAGTAAGACTCTGAAGAAAGAACTCACAGATTTTTAAAAGAACCAAACAGAACTTCTAGCAATCATAAATGTACTTGTTGAAATTTAAAACTCGTTAGACACACAGGCCAGCCTGTGGCTCACTTGGGAGAGCATGGTGCTGACAACACTAAGTCAAGGGTTAAGATCCCCTTACTGGTCATCTTTTAAAGGTAAAAAAAAAAAACAAAAACTCGTTAGACACAGGAGAAGAGAGAATTAGTTAAAAACAGAGAGTAGTTCTGAGGAAATTACTAAGTAGGCAGCACAGAGAGATACTGATGATATGACAGAGGCTAGGATGTGAAAGAAAATGAAAAAAAAAAACCTAGAAGGGAAGACATACTGGAGGAAAAGCCAGGAATTTTGTAACACTGATGAAAGACATTGTTACATATTTGAATAAACAAAGCAAATCTCAAGAAAGATGAAGTTTAGAAAAATCACACACAGAGACATGAGTGAAGCCACCAAATAGGAAAGATAAGGGACAGTTTCACAGGAAAGGCTGGTGACCTACACAGTCCATCTAAAAAATCTAGATGAAAAACAGGCTGCAGCAGAAACATCAGAGGCTGGAAGAAAGTGGAATACTATGGTGTTTTAAGAAAAATAACCTCAAGCTGGGTTGTGTTTAAAGCATAATCCAGCTATATGCAATTAATGAGAAACTCGCCCAAAACATAAGCATATAGAAGGGTAGAAAGGAGAGGGTTGGGGAGAACTCGGCAGATGAGTATGAGCCAAAGCAGTTGTTGCGTAGCTGTGTCGCCCTGCGTGGCCAAGCAGCAGCCACATAGCTGTTCGATGAGACAGGTGTTAAGGCAGAAAGCCTTACTAGGCAAAGATTATCCCGGCTTAGTGAGAAGTGGACAGATTTACCAGTGAAAATGTAATCTTGAACGTATGATCCTGTGCACGTGTACATAACGGGGGAGAGAGGGGAGTGAAGATGCGGCAGAATCACCACGATGCTGTCCATGCCAGGCGCACTCTGAGCACTGTCATCATGTCGGCTCGTGTCCCTCACACAGGCCT